CAGGAATGCTTCTATCCAGTTATTCAGTTGTCCAGAGATACCATAGGATTTTATTTTTAGGAGTAGTTTGTCGTGTACCACTGAATCAAAGGCTTTACAGAAGTCTATGTAGATTGCGTCTATTGCTTTGCCCTGGTCGAGTTGTGTCGTCCATATGTTTTTGCAGTGTAAGAGTTGCAGATTACAGGATAGTTTTTTTCTGAAACCAAATTGTTTATTGGAGAGTAGGTTATTTGTCTCTAAGTGAAGGATGATGGATTGGTTAATAATTGATTCCATGACTTTACAGGTGACGCAGCATAAGGAGATTGGCCTGTAGTTTTCAACTAGGCTTGGGTCTCCCTTTTTGAAGATGGGGATGACTGTGGCTTGTGACCATAGGTTAGGCAAGGAGCTGGTCCTGAAAGATTTTTCAAAGATTATGCTTAGAGGTTTGGCTATGGCAGTGGATAGCTTTCTTAAGAAGTAGGCACATATTCCATCCGGTCCAATAGATAGAGATGGTTTTAGGTTGCGTAGTGCTTTTTCAACATTGTCTTCTGTGAAATTGATATGTATTAGATCATTGTTGTTATCTGTGGTACGGCTAGGAAATACTGGGCATGATCCATTGCTGTTTACAAATACTGAGCCGAAGAATGTGTTAAAGATGTTGGCTTTAATGGTGTCGTCGTTGCAGTCTTTACCATCAGGTCCTATCAAGGGAGGGATGGACCTTGAGTCTTTTAGTTTGTTGTTTACAAAATTGTAAAAAGCACGGGTGGAATTGGTGCTTAGAAGGTTTTCCTCTTGTTTAATGTGATAATTGGTGCATTCGGTCTTTATCTGGTGGCATAAATTTTTGTATCGGTTTTTGAAATTGGCAACGTGACCAGATTTGTTTTTCCGCCAGAGTGATCTCTTTTTGGATTGAAGTTTCCTTATTGATATGGGAAATCTGCTATGCATGGAGAAAATTCCTTGCTTGTGATTGCTTCATAAGAGAGCAGGACTTTTTAGCTTTCAGGGTCCAGAGAGCTTTCTTTCCATTTAGCACTATTGTCCTCTTCTTCTTCTTCCTAGCTGCATCTGAGAAGGCAATTTTTAAGCTTGACAGCTGACCAATTTAACATCTGGAAGAGCGTTCCCCTGGAACACATCTGCTTAAGTTAATAGGTTTATATCCAGCAAATGTTCAATGACTTGCTATTCATGTGAACATTATACTCATTCCCAATGAAATATTTGCCTTGCATTGTAGGATCTTACAAACACTCAGCTCCATCCAGTCTCCCTGACTCTGCATTGAATTAAGGGATTACAGGGTCGTAAAAAGGGATTTACAATGATTTTATTCTCTAGTGTGGATGTTTCCTTCCTCCAATTAACAAAGGAAATTGTGATTGCAGGGCTAGTTTTACCATTAGGCAAAGTAAAGCAACTGGCTCAGGCAATAGTCAGGTCTCCTGCCTCTAATTTTTTTTAATTTATTTATTTAATGTGCTGCCCATCTTGTCCAGAGACAATGCTGGTGGTTTACAAACATGAGAACTACTACACATTAAAATAATAAAGAAACAATAGCAATAGCACTTAGACTTATATATACCACTTCACAGTGCTTTACAGCCCTTTCTAAGCAGTTTACAGAGTCAGCATATGGCCTCCAACAATTTGAATCCTCATTTTACCAACCTCAGAAGGATGGAAGGCTGAGTCCACCTTGAGCCTGGTCATAATCGAACTGCTGGCAGTCAGCAATATTGGCCTGCAATACTGCATTCTAACCACTGCATCACCATAGCTCTTTTTTTTTAAAGAGTAATAAAATATTGTTATAAGATTGGGAGAAGGGGAACTCAAAATACACGGGGAAAGGTGGGGTGTTTCCTAATCCAATAACTACCTCTACAATGATGCATCCCCATTGGAGCTCTAGGCCAACTGGCAGAGCCAGGTCTTCAGGCCCTTATGGAAGGTCAAAAGGAAGGGTGTGGATCATACATCAGAGGGTATGATGTTCCAAAGAGTAAGACCAAGGAAGAAAAGGTTCTCACTATGCTCCCTTCAAGTGTGGCAGAGGGTTCTGTTTTATTGCCAGTCATCAGCCATTATTCCAACTGAATCTGCCTATCACTCTTATAGTAAATGTGATGTAGAAAACTTGATGAGGCCACAATTATACCTTATTCTCCAACTACTTGTTTCCTTGTTCTGAATTAGATGGCTTCTTTCAAAACAATATCATTGCTAAAATCTCCCTGCAGCATTAAATACGATAGATTGAGCAAAGCCATCTCTAAATTTGATCTTGACCTTTCAGAAACAAATGTGTCCTGTATTTTTGTAGCATTTTGGATTTAACTTTTCAGGAACATATTTATTTAAGGAATTGTATCCTGTGCAGTATTATGAATTTGCAATTTTGCTATCTGTTGCAGGGCTTATGTCCTAAAGGAGCAATTGCCACCTATGCCAGAATAGTAAAGGTTGCTATTCCTCGCATAACATCAAATGGTGATATAATCCTAACCAAAACTAAGAAGCAATTCAAGGTAGATTGTCAATGCTTTTCCTTCTTGGAATTCCATGAACTGATGGAATTCCAGGATTTTACATAGTTATTATGTATGGGAGACAGAGCCTGGTTGATTTTGCCTGAGCTTGGAAGCTAAGCATGGATAAATTTAATTTTTACTTGCATAAGAGACCACCAAGGAATTCTAAAGCTGCAGATTAAATCAGATTAAACCAAATCCTGGAATATTTTAGTGGCAAATTACTTCTGTGCTACCGTCCAGAAACCTTCATGAATGAGTTCAGCACGTTAGTCTCAAGGCATTTTGATGATAATTTCTCATTGCTATGTGGCACTTGGAAACTATCAAACATAGAAAGGTGGAGCTTTGCTGCCCTCAATTGTACTGTTTCTCTTTCCAAAGGGAGAAATGTCAACATATAATTATGGGAATATGTATATCTTTTTGTTCTGGTTATGCTGCTAAGGAGGAGAAGATTTGGGGAGAGAAAGAAATCCAGCACTTCTGCCAGCTTAAGTTGGAAGTCACATATTTCTATGTATGCTATTTGCTTTCACTTTCTCATCATTTACCACTGTCACTGTTTGCTTTGCTCGAAGGATTATGACCAGCAGCAAACTACAAATCAAGGTGAAGATACTGAATACATGCAGAAATCATATCATGGCCAAGAGACAGACACTATCAAATTAGAAGAAAGGAATGTCTTCTGCAGTGGCTACAATGTTCGTATTCTAATAAACAGGTATGTGTCTAAGACAGAATATATTTACCCCCATCCAATTCTAATTCATCTTGTCATGGACCCAGGTTCTGGATGAATAGAAGAGAAAACAGAACAGAGGAGGTCTATTAGGTGACTTGCCAAGGACTAAACATTCTAATTAGCGACATCTGGCTGCTGCCTATATAAGAGACTTGCTTTGCCTCTATTCTCCTTGCTGGAAACAACATCTGACTCCTGTATGACTCCCATGTAGGAATTCTACTCTTGGACCTTACACTATACACCAAGGTGAATGGAATGCTGTTACCTTCCCACCGAAGTGGTACCTATTTATCTACTCGCATTTGGATGCTTTTGAAATGCTAGGTTTGCAGGTGTTGGGGCAAGTAATGGGAGCTTGCCCTGTTGCCTAGCGCGCAGGTCTTGAACCCGGGCTGTCAGCTTTCCAGCTGACAAGCTCAGCATTGAATCATTGAGCCATCATGTCCCTTGAAAATTGAAACTTTGAAATTTGAACTAACTTGCCCACTCCTCTTTGAAAACAAAATTGCTTTGCTTGATATTCCTTGCTACGTTGTTAACTCTGTTGCCTGAAAGTAAAACTGATAAACGTCCAAGAAATGTGTATGTGACTGAAACCTGAATCAGGATACATCTCACCAACTCACCCGTAAGAATTTTTCAAAAATATAACTTCACAACACATGGAAGAACTATCCTTCCAAGCTTGTGGAAGCATCTATGTCTGGAAACAGTAAGTTTTGGTTATGGAAGGAAACAAGGAAAGGGGAATGTAGAAATTACATTATGTCTGTTAAAGTAAATCAGGTTCCTAATTTAATGTTTGCTTTCTACTTCAGTCTGGATTCCAACCGAGTGATTCATAGCACTGCTGGGAGGTTATTGGCCTTTGGTTCTTTAGATCGAAAAGTCCGCTTTCTAGATATAGAGAAGATTAAAAACGTCCCGCCTGTCTTCTGTGGGCATGCTGGTAGTGTCAGATCCTTGTATCTCCATGAAGACAGAGGATTCCTCCTAAGTGGCAGCTATGATCTCAGTATCAGGTGAGTGCTTTTAATGCTCTTTCTTTATCCCAGGACAGTTTAATCTGCCTTTTTCAGGAGTTAGTTTCCATTTTTAGGGGGTTGAAAGGTGATGCAGCAACAATGAAGACGAGTATGGATGAATTGTTTTATTATAGTTTTATTCTAGCCTTTTCTGTTCCTGTTTGTATGGTGTTCGTTTACTGTTCTCTTGAACTCTTTTTTAGGTTGTGGAACATCAGAAAAGGAACCTGTGTGAAGCTTTTTCTGGGTCATAAAGGGAATATTACTTGCTTGGATGTGTGCAAGGGCAGATTTGTGTCTGGATCCAAAGACTGCACAGCAAAATGTGAATATCAGCTTTAATTCCTCTTAGAGAAGTGGGATAAAAAAAAATCAATGACTAAAATGCTAAAGTTGGTAAAATAAGAACACTAGTAAGTTGTATGATAAAAGAAGGCTCACCTGATAATGAGCCAATCATGACTTTTTCTAACATAAAACAGAAGCATGTTCTCAGCCCAAGGGCTACCCTAAGCTTGACTTACAATGCTGAGAACCACACTCCAAAAGTTAGTGGGGCCATATTTCCCTTGCTTAAAAATCCTACTTGGTTTATTTTTGAGCCTTGGTGGCGCAGTGGTTAGAATGCATTAATGCAGGCTACTTCTGCTCCCTGCCAACTGCCTGCAGTTTGATTCTCACCGGCTCAAGGGTGACTCAAGCTTCCATCCTTCTGAGGTTGGTAAAATGAGGAGTCAGATTGTTGGGAGCTATATGCTGACTCTGTAAACTGCTTAGAGAGGGATATAAAGTACTGTGATGCGGTATTATAAGTCTAAGTGCTATTGCTATTTTATTTTAAAATACTGTTTTTTCTGGAGCTTTAAGAAACAACTCCTTCCACTCTCACTAGAAACTGCAGTATTTTCTCTCACCAAAAGAGAGTGAAATTACATTCTTATTTTTCTAATGTTATAGAAAAATATGTCTTAGCCAACAGTTAAAAAGAAAACTCTTCTCTTCTCTTCTCCTCTCCTCTTTTTGTATCCTGACTTTATTATTTTTACAAATAACTTAAGGCAGGGAAGATATCCAACCCGCCTTCCTCTGTCTACTATCTTTTTTCTTTACTTAAAAAAAGTTAAACAAACTGGAAGAGAAAAGACATGACAATAGGTAGAACCAAAGGTTTGCTTTCCCTTCTACCTTTGAAGAGTGGGTAGGCATTAAGCTGTGAAATGTAAACTATTCTGAAGTGGGCTGGATGGAGAATGTTTTATGGATGCCTTGTCCTGAAGGAAATGACTTCTTCCCTTAGCACTTCTCCTTATGAAACTGTTTATAAGGCCTATCCTTTTTTAAGTGGTTGCAGATGATTTGCTGGCCAGAGGGGATGTTAGAAATCAAGATTATATTTGAAATTAGCATTTGGCTTTGCAGATATTTCAGTTTCTCAGCTATTTTTTTTTTTAAATTAACAATTCACTTGGTGGGGAAGCCTTGTTGTTCTCCAGGAAAAGATCCAGAATCACAAGGGTACCACTTTGGGGTAAGCCATAAGCCAGGTATCACAGGTAAGCCATAAGAGTAGGTACCACAGGTAAGCCAGACTTTGCAAACTATAATGGCTTAGTACAGTGGTTCTGTGCTTTTCTTCACTATGGACCCCTTTTAAATACCTTTTGTGGCCACGGACCACCAAGACTTAACGCAAGATTTAAATCATAACATTCCTTCAAGCATTCATAGACCACCTGTGATGACATCCTGTCCCTCCGAGGGGTTCGTGAACCAAAGGTTGAGAACCACTGTCTTAGCACAACAGGTGAACCAGTCTCTGTGACTGCCCATGCTTGTTTCTTGTTACCTTATGTTAAGAATTAGGGAAATGCCACATTGGTGTGCATATGATTTTGCTATTCCCTTCTCCTCTCCACTCCCAGCTCTTCATACAGCTGTATCTCTGAATGGCTATTTTCGGCCATATCATCCATTCTATTTTCTATGGCAAAGTGTTTGTTATTTTCTGTTAATACTTTTTACATGCTCTTGTGTAAATCAGTTTCTCTGTTACCAGGTTGGTTCCAATCTTGTTGGGATTCAGCTCTTTGAGCTTGCTGCTGAAAATAGTGGAGTCATTCCAGATTGAAAAATATAGCATAAATTGGTTTATATATTTGGACATCATATTCTGAACCATCACTTACAAAGTTTTAATACAGTATAAGGAATGTAGCAGTGCATTTTTAAAAAAGACAAAACAAAATTCAGTGAACATAGATAAATCACACCCCTCTGCTAAATGAGTTGTTCACCCTTTTCTGATGTATAACCTTCCAGACAAGTCTCACTGATGTTTTTCTATCTTGGACTGAGCTGCATTAAATGCATTGAAATTCAACTTATGAGTAAACAGGATGAGCAACGTGCTAAGAAATTACTACATCTTCTTGTGTTTCTTACAGTGTGGGACATGAAAACTGGGCGATGTATTAAAACTTTCACACACAAAGCTTATGTTTGGGCTGCTAAAATGAATGAGGTTCATATTGTGACTTCCTGTGACAAGGGCCTCGTGAAAGTTTGGCATGCTGAGTCATATGTACTAATCAAGGTATGAATCTTCCAAAAGAGCCTGGCCCAATTTATTTCACATTTAAACTCAGGTAAGTAACCAGCAGTGCTGACAGGAGTACTGGAAGAAACAGGAAGTTTTTAAAATATATTCCAATGCAAAGTCCCCTTAGGCATCATGATATAAATTAGAGATGCCCAAGAGAAATTGGTCTGAGCCCTGAGTCAATTCTGCACTAGTAATTTAAATCATATTCAGTCCCCTTTAAAGTGGTATAAAGTCTGTCTTCATTACTCTTATTTATCACAAAGCTGGCTGGATAGTCCTACAATATGCTATAAATCATTAAATTGGAAATAATCTTGGGGTGTTTTTTTTTTTGTAGAGTTTTGAGATTCCGGTGATACTCTAGGATTTCTTCTTATACAAAAGTTTTCAAGCAAGCAAGCAAATTTCCCCCCAAATAAATGAAAACTTGAGCTGATTATCAAAAACAAGTTAAAAGTTTTTTTTAAGTTTCATCTTGGAATCTTAACATATTATAAGACCAAAATGTTAGGTCTTGAATTTACAAAAACAAACAAACAAATAAAACAAACAAACAAAGATATTTAAGGCAAAAAAAACCACAGAATTTCATCCTTGTATAAAAGTAACTGAAAGGCTGGCTCAAAGAGAAATCAAAAGTATTACTTTACCTTCTGTATTTTTTTTCTCTAGCAAAGTCAGTGGATAATATGCCTACCCATGGAACTCATTGTTCTTTAGCAATGCTTGTTCTTTTCAAACGTAATTTATTTTATGTGGAACATCCAGTCCTGTGGAAATAAGCATGTGCAACTCACTTCGTGAGATATCTGCTGGGGATATTTTTTATTAACTCTGTAACTGAAATACCATTATGATGGGATAGAGACACTTATGGCCATTGTTATACAGGATTACTATTTATAGCAATGTACACCAATCTTGGCAACTTGCTGGCTTGGGAATTCTGGGAGTTGAAGTCCATAAAAGTTGTCAAGATTGATTTATATACCCTGATTTATATACCCTGATTTATATACCCTGTTATCCCAGTTTAAGGGTTTGTTACTGGATCTTACATCTTACATCCATTTTGTACGGGGAATATCTGATAAACATTTTAACACAATAAATAGTAATCATTCAAAGCTTTAGAAATGCTTCTTATACAATATACTTCTGAGCAGGAAAAAACAATACTACATTGGTTATTTTGTAATCCAATAAAGAGGCTAGCCTTAGTGATGTTTGGGAGGCAGGGTTAGCAAAAAAAATCTATGGAAAGCCTTTGACACCTAGCTTTAATATTTACTGACAAAGTAAACAGTCAGCCACAATTAAAGAATGCCTGAAACTATACCAAAAGTACACAAAGAGAAGTCTTCCCTCTCTCTTCCTCCTCTTTCTTTTACAGGTTTTAGAAGGTCACCGAGGCGCTATAAAATGTTTGTCATTTGATGAATGGCATCTTCTGACAGGAAGCAGTGATGGATATATTTTGGCATGGAGCATGGTGGGGAAACACAAGCGATGTCTAATGGGTTTCAGACATCCCAAGTAAGTCTTTTTTAGTATAAAATACATTTTGCATTTTAAGCCTTACCAATCACTCCATTGTGTTCTTTGAAGCCACTGGAGGAGACCATGAAAGAGGGAGATAAATCTTGAAACCACTGAGAAAGATAGTCTTCTGGCATGAAGGAAATTATCTTCATTCTGGCTGAAAGATGCAGTCAAGGCCATGGACCCAGAGACTGGAGACTGGAATCAGATGAGAAAAACAGGAACAGGCTCAGCTGTTAATTCAGAAGCCAGCTGATTCAAGCATTATGCCAATCCTGTCTCTGACTATGGTTCTGATGTCCCTGGAAGAAGAGGTCTGCAATCTGGGAATATTAAAAGCAGATAAAGGTCATGGCCAGTAAATATATATTACAATATAAATATAAATTATCTTTGCAAGGAAAGCTGAGAGACCATTGACTAGATAGAATCTCCCTGCCTTCCACTTCACACTTGAACAGCTCATTGATAACTAATTGGTCTCTAAACAGGAAGGAGATAATATTTCTTTTAATCTATCATCACTTTGCTTCAGCAAAATGGTGCAACAATCTTTTCTCTGTATCACATTTCCTCCCTACGCTGATTTATTGCTCCTTTTGTTGTTAGCATTTAGAATAAAATGCCACAGGCACACAGGACTGAAACCAATATAAATTCCTAATTCAGGCAGCTCCCTGTTTAGCCTACATAACATACAATGAATGCTTTCATTTAAGAGATTCAGTTTGTTTTGGTAGTTATTTTTTCACTCTAGACATTCCAAATTTCTCTCTAGCAATTGCTTTCTTAGTACAGTAGTACAATCATTTTTTCTTCTTAGAATGATTTGTGAGGACAAGTGATTTTGAATATTTTTTAATTCATTAAAAAAAAGCAAGGATGAACCTGAAAGATCAGAATTGGACTCCCAAAAGACTCTGAGCAGGCCAGAATTATAGATGGCACCTAAGGGGTTATGAATGTTTAGCTGTTCACATGGGTACAAAGTAAGGTAGATGACATTGACAGAGATATTCAGGTTCTGTTGCTTAGGTCAGTGATCCCCAACCTTTTTTATGCCGCGGCCCGGTACCGGCATCAGCTGGGCGCCGTGGCCCGGTACCGGCATCAGCTGGGCGCCGCCATCTTTTTTTGATGAAAAAGTGCTTCCGGTGAGCTTTCTACCCGGAAAAGCTCACCGGAAGCACTTTTTCATCAAAAAAAGATGGCGGCGCCGAGCAAACCAGCGGCCCGGTAGGACTTGTTCCGCGGACCGGTGGTTGGGGACCCCTGGCTTAGGTTCTGCGCATTGGAGAAGCAGAGCAAAGCCGGAGGTCAGTAATTTTTGCTGCAAAAAACCTCCAGACGCCACATGTTTTTTTCGGTGTGGTAGGACTGCAGCCGCACCGGAAAAAACACATGGCGTCTGGATGCTTTTTGCAGCGAAAATTACCAACTTCCGGCTTTGCTTGCTCTGCTTCTCCAACACGTCTCTGTGGCCGTCAGTGATTATTGCGCATGCATGCAATGTTGTGCAAAGGACTGACTGGGCAGGGAATGGAGGAGTGGGCAGAGAGGAGCAGGGCCAGCCAGGGGCCTGTTCTCCAAACTGCCGGGAATGTAATGAACTGATAGAATCCCACCCCTGAATTGCGCCCTGCGAGGGGCCCACCTCCAGTGTCCCCCCTTGCCTCTTAGCGTCCCCCTAAGGCATTCCCCCCAGGGAGTGGTACCACCCACTTTGGGAATCACTGTTTTAGATGGTGATTAACATTGAAAGACTTTGTATTTTTTTCTTTCAACACTGTAGGCTTTTTAAATAATTGTTGATAATTATAAGTATATTAAATAAATATTACTGTATTGAAATTTGCTTTAAATAATGTAATTTATCAACTTTATTAAAAAAAAACAAGCATTTATTTTTAATTGCTGATCTTGTTTATAGGGAGGTTCTATCTCTGGCCTTCCTTTATCTCAGAGTCATAAGTGGCTGTGCTGATGGGAAGATACGCATATTTAATTTCTTCTCTGGAATCTGTCTGAGGGTTATGAGAGCAAACAGCAGAGGTGACCCAGTGGTATCCATCTGTATTTTAGAAAACAGGTATGTTAAAAGTTCTTATTTCCTAGTTCAATAATAATAATAGAAAAGAAAGAAGAAATATATGGGAATGCTATGAACCCAACTTGCCCTGAGCAACATAGTCTTGAATGATAGATACTTAAAAGTAAGTTTAGTTAAAATTGGTGGATGTTACTTCTGAGGTACATATTTTTAAAGTCTGGCTATTAATGATGCATTGACTCTCCATGTACACTTTGAAACAAAATAAGGAAAGAAAGCAAATCAATGTAACTTAAACTGGAACCTTTAGGGAATGTTTTATTTATTGCTTCCTTCTATAAAAAGTTCCAGAATTCAGTCTTTGCATGTAAAATTGAAGGACAATTTGGGTTTTTCTGTTTCCATAATACTTTTTATGGAATTTCAATAATAGCTAAACATTGTTCCATTCAACAGCTATTATTTCCAAAGAAAAGGTAGATTTCTGAATTCTTGAATCCTGCCTTCATAGTATTGTTTTCTCAATTGTTTTTCCTTGACTGTTTTTTCTTTGAGAGAAAGAGGGTGGAAATCATACTGTATTCCAAACTAAATTAAAAATACAACTCTTCCTCTAACAGAATTGACAGTGTGTACGTACCTTAGACGGCTGCCATGATAGTGCAGTAGTGTTATACTAATTATTAATAAGAGTGGGCCATCCAATTTCATTTGAAGTCTCTGTCTTACCTTTACTGATCACAAATGCCCATGTTAAGCTTACATATATATCCTATGTCACTATTGTTCTTTGTTTAACTCTTGGAGTATTGAATAGAGACATAAGATAGGATGAGTGAATTGCTGGAGAGAAGATTAAACATATAAATTATCACATTTGGTGATAATTTTGAAAGACCCTTTGGAAAGAACAGAAATATTAATGAAAAATTAAATGATTTTGTTGTGATAGCAGGATTTTAAAGTTAATGATAAAATGAAGATGGTAACAAAAAGATGGAAGAACAAAAAGAATGATAAAAACTGAGATTGAGATTTTCGAACTGAGAAAAAAATAAAATGAATTGTATGTTATTTCAAACTAATTATACTAAGGTTTCAAGAAGGATATGTTAAGATGGGGAAAATTACAATTGCCATTAGGATAAAAATGAATATATTGCCTAGAGTGATGTTTTTTGTATCAAACAATACCAATTTTAACAACTGATGTTCCATTTAAGCAATGGAAAAAAGATATAGCTAGGTTCATATGGGAAGAAATAAACGAAGACTTACTCAGGATGCAAAGAGTGGGGGGAATTTGGGATGGCCTGATTTGAAATTGCACTGTAAATATGTCCTCAATAAAAATTAATTAAAAAAAAAAGATTTCCCTGATTAGAGAATTAACCGATTACTCAATATCCTTTGATATCAAAGTCCTTTTACTTAGACAAGCCTGAGTCTACCAAGGTGATATGTTTTCTGTTACTGCTATTGTGTTAGAGTGACTCTCATTGCAATCTGGTTTTATATACTCATTTTTATAGCTGCCTTAGAAGACAATTTATGGAAAAGTGAGCTATAAATTAATTCCTATTTAATGTGTATAGAAATTGTAGAATATAGAAAACTTAGCCCTTTCTTCCAACTATTTTGCTTGAAAAATCATCCAAAGTTCTTAGTACTGGAAAGAAAGTACTGGAAATGTCCTTGATCATGCAAAAACAACTTTTGAGGAATATTTTTCACTCAGATTATGACAGGGAAGAAAGGGGTGTGTGTGTGTAAAAGACCTTCCCTTCATTTTGCAGTGACCAACCTCCCCTTCCAATGATTGTTATTATTGTTGATCTTCTGATTTTTAAATAATAGAATTTGGAGGCCCTAACTGCAAGGAAGAACAGTTCTGTCAGCAACCTGAAGCCACTTTATTACAAATCATTTTCTTGAATCAGTGGACAGATTTCATAATGTTTTCTCACTCATCCAATTTCTTCCCTAGATTATTGATCAACGCAGAAGGAAGTGTGGTCTTGTTCCAGTTTGAAGAAGTAGACTGGGATCATAATCAGCTTTCTGATAGAATACCTAACCAAGCACTCATAGACAAATTTCATGACATTTCAGCCCCAATAAAGCCGCCTCCATATTCAAAATCTGTGCGGGAGAAAAGAGCCAGAAAGAAAAATTGGAAGCTATACAGAGAAGTTGACGAGACAGTGCTTTCCTATTATATTTCCCAGCATGCCACACGATTATCCAAAGATGTCCCAGGTATATATGTTTGTGCAGGTATAATTGTATATATTCATATCTACTGTATATCAAATTGGCAAAAAAAAAATCCCTTCTGCCAACAATTTTGTCAGAGAGCGCAGATGGTGATGGATGGCTTGTTCAACAGGTAGTCTTTTCTTCAGATCAATAAGGTAAATACCATCTACAAATGTGCAGTGGGCATTTTACACACTGCACTTAGGAGGAAATGAAATGATGATATTATTGCTCTGTCTCTTTTTCCATCTTATCTTCAACTGAAAAATACACTCAGATTCATTGCATAAACACCGAACCATAGCGTCCAAATAATCACATGGTAACTAATGTGCTGTTTTTTGCCAGCCAGTGCCAATACAAATTCTATACACCCATGAATCAGTTCTAAGTGAGTATAAATAGGGTGATGCATATTTTGGGACAATTGCTAAGTCTGCAAAACTAAATAGAATTATTCTTGAAACGTTAATAACATTAGTACTTAGACTTATATACCACTTCACAGTGCTTTACAGCCTTCTCTAAGTGGTTTACTGGATCAGCCTATTGCCCCCAACAATCTGGGTCCTCAATTTGCCAACCTCAGAAGGATGGAAGGCTGAGTCGACCTTGAGCTGGTGAGATTAAACTGCTGACAGTCAGCAGAATTAGCCTGTGGTACTGCATTCTAACCACTGACACCACAGCTCTGTACTTCCTGAGCTCTGTCAGATCCCGTTATTTATACCAAATACAGTATTATACCTGTTTAATTATCATGGAGATATTTCAGTAAGTTTTAATAGATTACAGTGGAATTATAAGATGGACTAGAGATGCTTCCAGACAGTTTTTCTGGGCTATCAGTCAAACAATTGTATAGGTATTTTGTTTTGCTATACTGTAATATATGTTAATGGGAAAAAATATAGACAAGGTAGGATAAAATAGATTCCAAGTCAAAGATATGAAACCTATGTTTCATCTGCTATAAAATTATGCAGTGAATCAGAATAACAGTATGACAAAACTTTCATCTGCAAACACCATGAATTATCTTTTCACATTTCTTTCAAAACTGAAAAGGTCTGGTATGCTTTTCTCCCAAGGTATTAGATATTTTTCAAAACTTGCCATATTGAAGAACTTTATGCACACAAATATACATTGGATGTGTAGTATCATCGCTCTATAAAATCCCACTGTGGAATTAACCCTCTAACCTTATGAGGCCATATTTAATTAGAATTATTCCACAGCATTCTGTTGCATCATATTTTGGACTGCTAACCATGTGATTCTCTTCTAGCCCTCGTTTATGAAATCGTGAAGACTCCTTTACCCCGGAAGAGGGAGGGTAAGACAGCCAAAGTCCTGGACCCATACCAAAGGCAAAGACTCTCTGTACTTGCCCAAACCTTAAAGGAACGGCAGTCTTCAACAATAATGAAAGTTATTTCTGGTAAAGAATTTTTGGGTATTATTTCTAACAGTTATAATGGTTATTGATATTCACCTTTAGGCTACTGATTAATACTTTGACAGAATAAATTGCTTTTTTAATTTATAGGCAAAACTAAAGAAAAATACAAAAAAAAAATGGGTTAAACTGTCATGATCTCCCAATTTCTTACCAAAGTGGTGTATTCTAAAAAAAAAAAATTGGGAGGAAATAAAAATGGGAAAATTGGCTTGAAGTCTGCATAGATTTGTCTGATTTCCCCAAATCAAAGGCAACTAGAAAATACGACTATTCTGCTCCATATAAATTTTATGCCCTATGCCAAGATTCCTGAGTATGCAAAGCCAAAGTTATTAATTATTGAGCTAATGATGGAAAATACCTTTAAAGAAGCAGGGGATATTAAACATCAAAACCATTTAGGATAACACTTTTCACCCCATATCTTCCAATAACCAGATTGTTTTCTTTTTGAATTCTGTCCCTTAAAATAGAAAACAAATGATGGCTAAAAGATTTGGAAGGTAATTTTATTCCTCCCTTCATTCCACTTATTTGGCATTTCTGCTGTAGCCTTACCTTCGTTCATCTCTGTGCCTATGCTTTCTCTCCATTCCCCTCCATGTAAATGTGCACTGTCCCCATTCAATGCCAAACAAGCCATTCAGTCCAAATGGATATTCAAGCCTTCCCTGCTCTCAGAATCTCATAATCAGAATGAAAAGAAAACTTTTAGAATTATAAATAAAATCATATGGATTTGAACTATATGCCACATATCTTTTTATTGCTTTTTAAATTGCCTTTGTAGCAACTGTGAATATAAGAAATCCAATGTGTTTGATGAAAAGAAGGACTAAGAGTGACATGATAGCAGTGTTCCAATATTTCAGGGGCTGCCACAAAGAAGAGGGAGTCAAGCTATTCTCTAAAACAACTGAGGGCAGGGCAAGAAGCAATGGGTGGAAACTTATCAAGGAGAGAAGCAACTTAGAACTAAGTAGAAATTTTCTGACAGTTAGAACAATTAATCAGTGGAACAATTTGCCTCCAGAAGTGGCAAATACTCCAACACTGGAAATTTTTAAGAAGAGATTGGATAACTCTTTGTCTGAAATGGTATAGGGGTTCTGGCCTAAGCAGGTGGTTGGACTAGAAGACCTCCAAGGTCCCTTCCAACTCTGTTATTCTATTCTATCTAGTATTCTTATTTACAATGCTAAAGACAGAATTTGGTACAAGAAGTACACATTAAAAAGTGAATACAGACACACTTTAAAAAAAAATGATGAAATCAAGAGCCCCATTGAGCCTGGTTTTCACAAGGCTTAGAGCTTTCAACCATTACCAAAGACAAAAATCTTAATGTTTAGAATAATTTATTATGTATTATTATGTCATGTCATACACAAAATAACATTCAGGCTTCAGACAAACCATAAACTGCCACATGGGTACTATTATTGACCACTGCATAAAGAACCAAGCCAAATTACTTTAAACTGCTAGTTGCATTACAGTTTATCTTAGGCACATTGCAATATGATGTTAATATCAATTAGTCCTGCTTTTACTGACAGCCTTGACAATTTGATGAGCAACTAGTAGTTGCTGCTAATCTAAATTGGGCAGATAGGTAGGTAGAACAATCTTAGAAAGAAAGAAGGCATTGGCAAGTTCATGCTTTACAAATGAAATAGTCGACTTTCACCATGATCTAATGCAGTGATGGAGAATTTAGGACAGTGACGGCGAGTCATTTTGTTGTGGTGTGCCGAAAGCGTGCATGTGCTGGCACCCACAATGCAATGCTCCCTGCCCCTGCACATGTGCGTGCAACCCCCACCCCCACCCCCTTACCTGCACTGTGCATGTGCACGCCTCTCAGCTGATTTTTTGCCCGTTTGAGGCCTTTTTTGCCCTCCCGGAGGCTCAAGGAAAGCCTCTGCAGCCTTAGAAGGCCGAAAAATGGGCCTTCCGAAATAACAGATGTGCCTGTTTTCAGCCTCCGGAGGGCCTCTGGAGCCCGGGGGAGGCTGTTTTTGCCCTCCCAGGGGCTCGAGGGAAGCCTCTGGAGCTTTTGGAGGCCGAAAAACGGACCTGGAAGTGCTGAAATAGGCCCGTTTTTTGGGCTCAAATGGCTGCAGAGGCTTCCCTCAAGCTCCTGGGAGGGTGAAAACGGCCTCCTGCGGGCTCCAGAGGCCTTCTGGAGGCCGAAAACTGGCATTTCCGGTATTTCTGGAAGGCCCATTTTTCAGCCTCCTGAGGCTGCAAAGGCTTCCTTTGAGCCTCTGGGGTGTGTGTGTGAAAACTGCCTCAAACAGGCCAAAAATCAGCTGGGAGGCATGTGCATGCATAGTGCAGGTAAGTTTGGCTGGGGCTCGCGTGCCCGCACAAATGGCTCTGCGTGCCACCTGTGGCATGCATGCCATAGGTTCACCATCACGGTCTTAGGACAAACATGTCATGACACCTCATGTTTTGGGTGATATGCCAGCATTCACCAACACTCAACTATTCTTGAAAGCATTGCCCCATTGTTGTGTGGTTTTTAAGTCCTGCAAGAATGGCTGCAGAGGATGCGGAAGAGCATTCTCTGAAGCCATTTCAAGAAAGAAGGCCTTTGGCAACCCAGAGTAGCCTCAAGTAGGCTGCAGGAGCTTGTCAGTAGAAAGAAAATACTGAAGAAACACATGGTAGATTTTTGGGACTGCTGACCCATGATGCAACTGCACTGTTTTCCAAGACTCACAGGCCTTGGAGCATGGTGCAAAGTTTTCTTTTTCAATAGTAGTAGTGACGCTAGGGTTGAAATAAAAGCCCAAGCCTTGACTTCAGGCCCAGCCTTTGTGCTGCTATCAAATGTCATTGTTCAACAGAATCAAGTCAGGCATTTTCCAGAGTTTTGACATCCAAAAGATTTCCTATCATTGATCTAATGCATGCTCGGTTGGAAATAAATACTATAGGTAAGTGCTCACTGATTGCAATTATGATTTGCAAACCATTACCCTCCAAAAATAGATATTTGTGAAAACTAGAGTTAGAGTCAGAGAAGCATTGGAACATTGGAGTGGGTGAATTCATATTACTTGCATTTCCTGTTCTTTAAATATCATAATTGTTTACTTACTGTGTATAATTCTGTAGCCATGCATTGCTTTGGCAAGTATCAGCCCAAATACAGCCACTCAATAGACCCTGGGGCAGGGTGAGTTATGAATTGTTCCCTGATATTGAATCCCTGTCTTATGATTGTAATTAGGTTTTATTTTTTGTTCTTCCCGCCATTGGGTATTACTGTTGATGGTTTCTGTGTTTTTTTATTATCAGAATAAAAAAATATTATTTAAATCTTAGAATCCTCTCTGTGTAAGATGATACATAAATTCATTGAATTAATAAATCAAAGAGTTTCCTGGGTTTTTAAATAAAGCTTCTGAGAGCAAGCAGGATGATTAGGGAACTGGAGACTAAGGCATATGAAGAATGGTTACAGGAACTGGGCTTGGCTAGTCTAGTGAAGAGAAGGACCAGGGGAGACATGATAGCAGTCTTCCAGTATTTGAGTGGCTGCCACAGAGAGGAAGGGGTCAAGCTAGGCCAGACAAGGAATAATGAATGGAAACTGAACAAGGAGAGCTTTAACCTGGAAATAAGGAGAAACTTTCTGACAATGAGACCTATCAACCAATGAAACAGCTTTCCCCCCGGAAGTTCTGGGTGTGCCATCACTTGGGACCTTCAAGAAGAGATTGGACTGCCATTTGTCAGAAATGGTGTAGGGTTTCCCACTTGGGTGGGGGGTTGGACTAGATGACCTATAAGGTCCCTTCCAATTCTGATTATCTGATATCTCATTTTTCTAATCCTATAAGTATCTTTTTATCTCCATTTTTGAAGACCAGGCTGGGGGCCTTCTGCTGAGTTGCCCCTGCTTTCTGTCTTCAAGTTCTGATGTCAGTAGGTAGTGTTTTAGGCTTTAAACTCCTTTCTCTTTTTCTTTTTAAAACAGATGAGGAAATAGTATCAGAAGCTCCACCCACTTCCTTATTTGACCAGAATACTAAGGCTTTGTTAAATCACCTAAAGAAGAGACATCCTATTGGTCCCATATCTAATGATCAGGTACTCCTCACTGTCAGTACAGTACACCATGCCTACCAACATGATAATGTCAGTGCCAATATGGCATACAACATGAACATTAAAGATGCTTGGGAACCTGTTCAGCCCAAGAAAATACAGCCCAAACCAACTCTATCTTCTCAAAGTTCAAAGTACAAGGCAATAGATCTAACAAACCAAGTGAAACAACTAAAGGCTGTTGGTGTCACTTTAGGTATGGAAAAGATTTCCTCACCTTATGAAACCAAACTACTACAGCTCAACACAAAAAATTCTTTGCTTGGGAGTTCTGTAAAATCCTTCATTCCTCCCCCCTCTGTCACACGTTCCAAGTCTTGCAGCAGCTTGTCAAGAAGAAAAGGTTATTTTAAGATCTCATCTTCAGCTGCTACTGAGAGTAATATCATTGGTGGCTTTACAAGTTCAGCTGAGTCCATCAAAATACCACGAATGAAGATTGCCCAACCTGATACCAATGTAACTTCACGGCACAGAAAAATTTTCCATGCCCTTAGTGCAAATCCTTATCGTTACAATTCTGGGTTCCAACTTCTGACTACACAACAAATGAAAGAATATGAAGAAGCTAAGATTGCAGAGTATCAGGCAACCAAGACAAAAGTTATTGCAAATAGAGAAAAGGTGTGTAAAAATGCTTGGGTGAGGAAAATTAAAGGTCTTCCTATAGATGACTTCACTAAGGAGGGCAGAACTGCTGCTCCTGAACTTGGAGATAACGTTTTCATTTGAGGCTAACTTTTTTAATACAGCTGTCAAACCCTGAAAAACAAATGCAAAATTCCAGCCCAGGTATTGTGAAACTTTGTCCTATTTCCTTCTTTTGGGAGACTGTGACAAACTGTACTATATCAAACAATTAGACCTTTGTTTTCAAAAATTGGGACTCTTTGAGTTTCCCTCCCTTTCCCAGTTTGGAATATTTGTATTTTATTAAAGTTCCTGTTCATGAAGGTTTATTAACAGGATTGATAATACCTTTTATAAATTTTGCTTCATAAATTATATGTTGTGCATTCCTGAGGTGTCTTACTTAGTTGATATCTTAGTGTAACAGTTTCACTGTGTAATTATAAAAGTAAATATTTTTCAAAGTTTGAAATTAGTAGTGTTTATTTTGTACTGTACTTTCTTATAGAGTAAGTCATTATTTTACAAAATTTGTTCTTGGCTGCAAAATAGAACAGAGATTAAATCAAATGCTTTTGTTTATAATTTGCACAAATGACACAGGTGGGTAGAAGTACTGTACATGTGCCTGGATAGAATTCTGTGATTGGACAACAAGGAATTTGTCTTGGTGCAAATACTCAGTATACATAAAAGAAAACATACAAGTTCCTTGGGAGCAACTGAATCACACAGTATTGTTAGCCTGATACCTGAGGGGAGAGGGAAGCTGTATGAAAAAAAGAGGAGCATCTGCTGTCAAAGCTTTGCCCTTTGAGGCATGCATCCAATCAGAAATTTGATGGGACTTGGGACACAACATTGCAGTGCACTGTACATCACTCTGAGCCATTACATGCTGATCAGAATGAGAATGGCCACAAAAATAGCAATTTGAAAGAAAAAAAAAAAAGGATGGGGAGGTATTGAACCTAAAGTATTAGCCTGCACTGGAGAGATCCAGGATCTCATTTACATTTTCTCAGGTCACCCAACCTCACAGACTAGTTGTTGTGGCAGTGAGGATGGGAGGAGAAAATGCTAGGGATACCATTTTGAGAAAGATAAGATGGAAGTTAAATATGTTTTATCAAGGGCCCTTTCTACCATCATCATGTGGCCCCAAATAGAGTAATGCTGAGGCTCTTGAGCAGGAAAAATTGAATCCCAGCTTAACTGCATCAAGTCAGCTATCTCTATAGCCTATGGTTCTGTTCCTTGCATGTAGTTTAATTTGGCTACATTCCTCAAAACTGGAAAGAACTTCAAATAACAATTCAAATTCAGGGATTTTGCCTGCAAACCATGCTTAAGAATGTTAAAATGTGTTTTGGAAGAATGAAGCAAATTATTTCAGATCAGCCATGGACAGAAAAATATATAACAGAAGAGTTACATTATTTTTAAACCATATAATTATAGTAAATATTTAAAGGCAAATTTTCTCATATTTCACAAGTACGCAGTAGATAATACACACAAAAATATCAGTCATAGACATCATAGTGGGATGTCCTGTAAAAAAACTTTTATTTTGCCAATAGGTTGTAGCAGATAGGTCTTGTTCTCTTCCACACACTTCCTTAGAGCAGATTGTTAGAAAGAAAAAAAAGTAGTTCAAATACTTAACATTCACTATTGTAGTTACCACAAAACAGTGGTTTTTATTTTGCATCATTACTGTTATTTCACAGAAAGACACATCAATTTCTCAGCTTTTTTACACGGAAGATAATGAGAGCTAAAATATGGAGCTAAAATTTTCATGTTGCTCTTCCATTGGAAAATCTTAAAAGAGAAAACTGCTCCTGAGAACATATGTCCCTTTGCTTTACAGATTATTCATCTCTATGAACTAATTGTTCAGGAAATATTAGAACACTCCTAAAAGAGTTTAATCATAAGGTGCATAGCGCTAAACTAACTTAATCTATATTAAAGCTAAAGAGCTAAAAGAATAGAATCTTAAAGCGTAAGAGCTAAAAGAATAGAACGATTATTTGCAACATGTTTCATTTTGAGTGCTAAGTTACACTTCTCCATCTTATCCCTGTTAAAATACTTTCTCCCAGAGAGTCAATCTTGGGCAGTGCTTATCAACCTTAGCGACGACCTGCATGGTGGTGTGGTAGTTAAAAGTCCAAACATCTTAAAATTGATAAGGTTGAGAAACATTGCTTATAGAGAAGCCTCTCGTACTCGGGATAAAGACCACCTAATAAACGGAGACGAGCTCTCTATCTGTCCCTATATCTATCAGTCAAAGCTTGACGGCTTTCCATTGGACGTGGAGGCGTCACCACATAGCCTGCCGTCCGTCTCACGTTGATGACGTAGACGGCTTTGCTTGGGGAGTTGGTTGTGACGTGGCAGAAGGCGGAAGCGATGTTGCGGCAGGTGGGAGCTAAGGGGCTATTATTTCCTAGCGCGGGCCAGGGACGCTGAGTGGGTTTCTCACACCGGGACTGAAGGGACCTTTTTAATATTGGAGAGGGAGGTGAGCTGGAAGAGGGACCCGGTAGAGGACTTCCAAGCCAAGGCCGTGGCTGTGGAAAATGAGTCCATCGCGATGAAGCCCAACCCAAGCTACCCAAGTTTCAGCTGCTTTGTTAGAAGAGGGGAAGACCAGCTTGCTTCTTGCCCTCACCTACCTTCCTTCTGTGATATCTGGGCTTACGCCCGCAAAGCATTTATTTCTTCCCATCCCCAGCTGTTAAATGTTTTTGTATATAGCTTTTAATTTGAGGATGGGGGGACTTGCATTTCTAAGGCTCCCAAGCGATTGAAATGTGGGCATAATAATTGGAAATCAACTGTGTATTGTCGAAGTAACTCTAGCAAATTATTAAGACAAGGATTTGCAGGAAGCAGCAGTTTGTTGAACTCTTAACGATTGCTGGTGCTTAACTGGTCATTTTTAACTCAAATATAGTAAGGTTATCTTAACCCACGAACAGCAGGTTGGCTGTAGTATTGCATGTCTGTGAATTGGAATATGTGACATTAAGTTTAGAGTAGTTTTATTTAGTTATGTGGCTAGGTATATTTCTCACTTGTGATTTATAATGTCTTCTAGAGTCACCCCATCCCAATCATTGTGAAAGATCAGTAACGAGTATGGGTTTATATTTCTCCAAAATTGGGTAGATGGCCCTGAAGATTTATAATTCATTAGTGAGGAAATGGACTTACTATTTGAGTTATATCCTCCCTTCACTCAAAAGCTCAAAGCAATGAACTTGGAACTCCCTTCTAATTTCCTCTGCAGCAACCACCCTGCAGGATAGGTTGGAATGAAAGAAAGTTAATTGGGGTGCTAACTGAGGCTAGAGATTCTCAGAAAGAAATATTGATGTCCAGTGAAGGGATACAAGTATCCTATTGTTACCTGACAGCTCTAAATGTAAACTTTTAGTAACATCAGATGATTATGAACTATGATAACAAATAATGTTTTCAGATTCCTGGTTTTCATTAGGAATATAGTCTTAGGTTTAAACAGTACCATGGTTTTACCCTTAATTTTAGGTTATTCTTAGCTCAAGTTTTACATCTTTTTAGCTTAGTAATAATGGTATGCTAAAATGCTATACACACATTCATAGAAAATAATCAAAGCTGCTGTTTTCTTTATGTTACTATTGTTTGATCAGTACTTCTTTATGCTTTCTTTGACTAAAATAATTATATTGATAGATTGAAGGATAAGAAATGGATAACAAATCCAATATCCAGACTTTATTTTTTTTTGCTCCTAATCTTATCAGTGATACTGTCTGGAAACCATGGTAATGCTTACAGTAAATTCATGTTCAGTTAATACTTGTTCCACCAATATAAAAAGAAGACTATGATTATGCACTTTTTAGTGCCAAGTTATATAAAGTAAACAAGTATATAAATGATTGCAGTGATAGTGAGACAAGGAGTGTGATCTCACTATATTCTTTTAAAAGGATTGTTTAGGAAAATATACTGTGCAGAAATAAGGTACAACACCTGCATTGAAGAATTATTGCTAATTAGTAAACAGGATTAGATAAATATTGTCACTGAAGATGACAATCTAGTATAGATTTCTTCATCATTGCTATTGGTTTCAAGTAGCAAATAATTAAACATGGTTTCCAGTATAGTTAAGTTAGCCATCTGTTTTTAACTTTACACGGTGTCAGTTTCAAGAATGTACACATTCCTGAAAACTTGCTGTAGAAAAATTATTGTTGAAGGGCCTGTGAAATATTTTCTAGTTTAATGTAGAATGAATACTCATAATAAAAGAAAAAACTTTTTTGTTTAATCCATTGCATTCCTTTTTAAAATGACAATAACTTAACAAGAAATAGATCCATATTTTGCTATAGAGAAAAAATAAGAAACTTAGATTCTCTTGCTATTGTTTTAATCAGAGTTTTGCCAAGTGAAATTATATACAGCATCACTATACCAAAATACTGGTTTCTTGTTTCTACGTAATTTTCTGAGTTTCATCCGGAAGTACCACAGAATCTGGCATTTTCAGCAGAATGGTGATGATGCTGATAAAACATTTATCCTGATTTTATATATATATAACTCAAGTCTGTGAACATACCTAAAACTCCTGCTTCTTATTTTTCCCACAATAATAACCTGTGAGAATCATAGTGGTGTTCCACTATGGAACTTGTGTTACAATGCTTGTTTTATCCTTGTGTTACCCTCACCTCCAGGCACCCATAGTTTTATCACAATAGCATAGGTTGGAGTTGCACAATGGCACATATTTCTTTTCTTTTTTTCTTTTAAACCATTTTTAATATCTCTAGGATAGTAATGATGAGACGGAAGATGTTTCACTTTTTGATGGAGAAGAGGAAATGTCCAGGAAGTCCAAGAAATCAAAAATAAAGTAAGTTTGGAAGAAAGAGGCTGCTATGTCTTGACAGGCTTTTGCAGTTAGGTTAGGAGGAGAAAGTTATTGCATAATCTAATTCTCCTAAGAAATTGGAAATATAGTTTGGTTTAGTAATCATGAAATCCTAGTGAAATCCTGTATAGGTGTGTAGGTTGAAAATATTTTCATCAATATCGGCATAGATTCTGCTTTCATTGTCATATCTACGGGAACGCTTACATAGAACGAACTGCAATATTTACTTACCTCTTTATCCTGAGCAGATATTTGCAATAAAATTATGTTGTGGAGTATGGTGTTTCAAGTTAAAGAATTTGTTTGTTCATATTTAATACTTTTCATACCATTAAACATCATCTGCCTAACTCAGATCCTTGGGAATAGATCCTCAATGACAAAAATGACAAATCCAGTCAAAACACTTGCCTGACTGTGTAACCAATCATAATAATATAGTTATGCTTATAAGAATATTGCTGCCTTTATGAAATTGGAATAATAGCATAAATTCTAAACCTTGATTAGGCCAGATTAAACACTGAAATTGATAACCAAATTATTTTCTTCCTATGTCTTTTACAGACACCCTATAGCTTCCTTTTGCCACTTGTTCTTCCGGGTCAGTGCAATAATTGTCTACTTACTTTGTGAATTGTTAAGCAGCAGCTATATTGCCTGTATGGTGACAATAATCTTACTTCTATCGTGTGACTTTTGGGCAGTGAAGGTAAGTCATTTTATAAGATGTTGATATTTGAAAATGTTTGTTATCAGAGAAATTGGTAGTGTAGGGAACAGTACTGTTAATCAAAATTCAAATACTAATTGTGATTGCATTTAGCTTGCTTTTCTCTCTGTTCCTCAAGTACAGCAATCAAAGCAATGAGCTGGGGGGAGGGTGCTCTTTGGTGCTTTGAGCTTTTTACTAAAGTTATATCAGAACGTGTAGAATGTGATAAGGAAGTTTGCATTTGCATTCAAATATAACAAGATGGCTATTTCTATGCTTTATTTTATTCATAGACATTTCACCATCCTTGTATATACATGCAGAAGGCTTGCTCTCTATAATACTTTATAACTGCTTGTTGTGGATTTTAATTAGTGTTTTGATTGGAACATTACTTTGTCAGAGTTCTGCTTATGGGATGTTTCTGCCACCAAAGGAGACAGCATTTAAAAAAAATTATTCCCCATACCTTTATACACACATAAGATGTTACTACAGAGTTTTTGACCTGGGAGGATGGGAATCCTATGGAAAATGTGCATGGTTCTTTTACATTCATGGAACTCAAAATGGAGCCAAAAACATAAAAAGAAGAAAAAACAAGAACCTTTCATTTTAGAAGGAAGTTCTGCACATTTATATATTAAATTCAAAGTCAAATTAATACAGCATGATTATGTGTTAAGTGAATAAAGGCTTAAGAGGCTAGAGTATATGTTCCAATTGAAAATCAGTGTTAGATTTATCCTGTGGCTTGCTTAGAACTCCTCATTATTACAGATACTGAACAAAACAGCCTCTTTCCCGTGTACAAAGTAAAGGCCAATTCTCTTCCTTGGTCATACTGTCATTGTTATAACTTATTTTAGAGAGCATGTCAAAGTGAGATAGGAATATTCACATTGTTAAATGTGTGTTATTGCACTTTTATGCCTAATAATATGTTTCAAATATGCTTGAATGTTTGAAAAAGCACATCTTTAAAGCAGGCACTTGTTATAAACATTCCAGAGTTATTTGGGCAGGAAGACATGGCGAACTATTCCTGTCATATTTTAAATAACCAGAAGGCATATAACCTATATATGTGATAGTGGTCTTAGAAGACTTTGTAACAACATGTTTCCATGTCACTAGTGAAATTATAACTTTGCTTACCAAGCAACTATTTGCAGTAAACTGAATAGTATTGCCGAGAATGTGGCCCAGGGGCATACTAGTGCAAGCTGAGCAATTGATAACTCACTTAGAACTGTGACTCTAATAGCTGCCCATCGTTATACTGTTGAACAGCACAACAAGAATGAGATTCTTGTTTCATTAGAGTTTTGTGCATAAAACAGTGGAGGCATTTGGGAGAGCTTATTTAGCAAAATGTATGATTGCTGTTGCAGGAAGCACTTTCATGCTGTATTTAACTCTCTCCAGAATGTCACAGGGAGGTTGATGGTTGGCCTCCGATGGTGGAATCAGGTTGATGATGATGGCAAAAGTCATTGGGTGTTTGAAGCCAGAAAGGTAAATATCTCCCCTGTTGCTGAGGGAATGACTGTGAATGGCATACTCTACAGCTTAGAACACTTTTAATTCCAGAATCGGATACAAGGTCATTACACACAAATCACAGCACAACTATTGTGGCTACTAGTTGTGTGCATTTGAAATTTGCTTTACCTTCTGATTTGGAGACTAGGCTGCAAAGATGTACAGTATATGTTCATCTGCAGTGAGATAAATGATATTAAACAATTCAACTTATTTTAAAGAATTGTGATTGAATGAGCTACGATCAACCTATCAAATCATACAAGCAATGCATTTTAGAGTTCCTTGTAGAGGAACAACATGATGTTAGTTACTTTAAAGAACCAAACACAAGTAACAGTTTTTAGGCATGCTGAGAATCCTTTTTTTTCAGTCTTAAGTCATGAAAATATTTAGATACATCAGGCCAATGCAAATGAAAAATTCCTTTTCCTTTAATGTGAGTTTGAGGGTAGGTTCTCAGTTTATACATTTTTCAGGCTTGAACAGGAATATGAAGACAGCCTTGAAGAAGAATATGCAACAGTCTTTACAAAAAACATCATCTTAGTTAGGAAATACAGAAGGGGGTGAGGAAGAAACTTAAGATTAGTTCACTTTGATTATAACGGGGAAAGAAAAACTTTATGGGGCTTTCCAGGATTCTGTCACTACATCCTACAACAATAAAGATGAGTAACATTAGTTCTTGTGTTGTCTGTTTCCTGACACAGACTACAATTAGTTTTCAAACATTTGATCTCCTTTGGTCTCCATAACGTGAAGCAATGTTGTATAAGCAATGATATTTACCATTGTTTACAGGTAGTTTTTACTTTACAGCCGTTCATTTCAGTGATTGAAGTTACAGCAGTTCCTGAAGTTATGGTTGCATGATCAGAATTCAGTTACTTGGCAATAGCCTGCTTATATTTATGACTGCAGGAGTGCTTCAGTTCTCCCTGCCTACCTCCTCACATTTCTGCCCCTTTGGCTGTCCTGCACAACGAAGCTTATTGGTAGAAGCAGCCAATAAGTGCTAGTGTTGAAGTAGTGGCTTGGGGCCTTTGGAAGAGACAGCCAGCCAGCACCACCAGTGAGCCTCTACTTCAGCCCAGTGGCACTTCAAGCAGCAAACTGTGGCAAGATGCTTCTGCCACATTCAGCTGACCTTCACCATCTTCCACTGCTGATGAGGTCTGCCCTGTGAGAGGCAGCTGCTGGTTGAGAGAGGCCTTTTCCAGGGCTGTTCATGCCATTCTCCAAACCATAAGCTTGCCTTGAGAGAAAGGCCTGCTGCAGCCAGCAACTGCCTCACATAGAGCCAGGCCAGGCATGTCTTGTTGGCAGTGGGAGTAAGACAGTGAAGGGCAGCTGGGCATAATAGGGCCTGCAGAGCACAGGATGACAGGGATAGCTGAGACTTTGTAATGTGGTGCTGGTTTGGTCAGGAAACATTCTCTCCCTTGATACCCCTTTTTGATGAAAGGATACTTCATTCTTTTTCCACTCTGAAGAAATATACAATTCCAAAAATATAAAGCCTTCTATTGCATGATTTCTTTAAAGAATAATTAGGTTCTGCTGCTTCAGCAACTGTATTATCATCACCGAGATTTTTCAGCATTTAACTAAAGTACTTTTTTTTAATAATGTTACTTATGCTTAATTCAAAAAATAGAACGCAGTGTAAGTAAAATACTACTATTCATTTTTAGGCATCTGCTCAGGGGAGGAAAGCTATTTCAGAAGCAGAGTCCAGAATCTTCTGGTTAGGATTAATCACATGTCCTTTACTCTGGGTGATTTTTGCCTTCACTGCCCTATTTTCTTTCAAAGTTAAGTGGCTGGTGAGTAAAATGTTCAGTTGTTTCCTGCTAAGCTCATTCTTGGGGCACAGGGAAGCCTTGCTTCTCTCACATATCTTCCTCTCCTTTTCTAGGCAGTGGTAATTATGGGTGTAGCATTGCAAGGAGCTAATCTTTATGGCTATATTCGGTGCAAAGTGGGTAGCAGGAAGAACCTGACCAGCGCAGCAACTTTCTACTTGGGAAGGCAGTTCCTGCGGCAAGTACGTGGGGACTTTATTTACGCAGCTATCTTTCCCCTCTCTCAGTATTTGCCTTGTGCTTTGCATTTCCCGATTTAACTTTGCATTTCCCGATTTTGCTACTTTTTGTAGGCCTTAGATTTAAAGAATTCAAGATCCAAGACTGGCCTGTTCAGGTTCTGTTACAGCTGAGACGGGTGCTTGTTTCGGTTGTATTTATTATAGCTCTGCCTTGGCCTGTTGAGGAAAAATGTCACATAAGCTTTCAGAGTGCTCTCTCCTGCTCATTTGAATACATATAACTTAGCTTTGAGGAATCTGACTTTGAGGGTCTGAAGTTTAGACCAGCAGTCTCCAATTGTTCCAGCTTGGTGGAGTGTCAGAGGAGATGGTTCTCCATGAGCGGCAAGTGAGTGCGCAGCTCCATTTCCACAAGCAGCAGGTATGGAGTTGCGTGTGTGCTTGCCGCTACTTCCGTGGTCCAGTTTTGAAAGGGCTACAGCCTGGTAGTAGACCGCGGCCCAGGGGTTGGGGACCCCTGTCTTAGACAATCCTCATGGCTTTAATAACCTTGTTTGCTCCAGTTAATCATCTTCAGAGACACTGTTTAGGCAGTATTGTTTCCTTTAAAAACTCTACAGGTACTTTGATAATAGCATTTCTAGGCAAAGTTCCAGTCATTGTGTCTGCACAAAGGCAAAGGTCTAGTCATTGTGTCTGCCCACAGAAAGTGATACAGAGAATTTTTTCCCCCCAGAATTGGGGCAAGTGTGGCCTTCAAGACAATTTTTCAGAGTTTAACTATAGTCAATATAAGTCCTGATCTGATGCTATTTACTTTTCTTTTACAGACCACACCCAAGGACGACCAAGCAGCATCTTGAGGTTCATGAAGAAATGCTACCTGCCATTTTCAGTTCTTATGGAGAATGAGAGGGGGGAATCCCTATTTCTTGGCTTCTGTACAGGAAATTTATAATCTGTGTATGGATTTTTGTAATTAAATATCTCAAAGAAGTGTTAATTATTACCGTTTCTTACAACTTAGATTTTACAGAACCCTTCTTGATTTAACTGACTGCTGGGCTCTTTAATTAATTAAATAATTAATTCTTCATTTAGAATTAAGTTAAAAAAATAGAGGTGACATCTGTGACTATTTATAACGTTCCAGTCCTGAAATAGCCGGAACTGTCCCAAATAACTTAGCAGTCAAATATTTTTGCTATTTCAAAACCAGCTTGTTCAAGAAGTGTCATGATAAGGGCTTGAGCAACCTTTCCTCATGTGGGAACTGTGGAATGTAACCTTTAATACATGACTTAATGTGTACATTATTGTGAGATCAGGTATTTTTAAGAAAGTATTTTAGATCTGAAATAGAAAATAATAACAATTGGATAATTTCAGCTAAAGGTCAGGAATTGAGAGGAAGAACTAAGGGTTCTAGTTTCACAATCAGAATAGAAAAACACTGATGCCTGTTGATTGGCAAAACATAACTTTCCTGTTTTGTTTGGTTTTGATCTGAGCCGCCTTGAATATTGAGATTTCCTGAGAAGTAAGGGCAAGTTCCCTTCAGCTTAATACCTGAGTGAAAGAGAATTCTCAGGCTATATATAACTACGGTAACCAACAAGGATATAGATCTCAATTCATAGCATCCTATAGAGAGAGGAAGGATTTGAGTGTGCCCTTTTGTGCCACTTAACAAGTTATATTATAGAAGAACTGTTCTGAAATTGCTAGTGCCAATTCATAATAAACCTGAACAAGCAATTTCAGAACTTATGAAATAAGAGATAGAGCTATTTTAAAACTAGGTGGCTCATGTTAGTAGAAAAATCAGCCCAGGTAATCCCTTGGAATAATTTAGGTCAGGTGTATCTAACCTCTGGGTTGTGGCCCAATACTGCACATGCACATTTGCTCACCACTTGTGTGAGCCAGTTCCCCTCCCCACCCTCCATCCTGCAGCCAGCCTACCAAGCCGCAAAAGTTGGGGGCCATTGATTTAGCCCATCTGCAAATATTTCTTTGCAAACATAAGCAAAATTTCAGTGAATTTAGGCTTTACTAAAAACGTGGTAGATTTCTGCAAATTGTCCTGCTTTAAATAGAGTGAGTTCCGTGCACTGGGACTAGCTTGTCATGGTGTGCTACTGGTAGTTGGGCTGCTTTTCAAAATCGATTAAAATTTATTGAATTACTGCTGTTTACTGGATGGACATCCAGTTCTTCATTTCAAACATGATCAACTTGTATATTTCTCAAGATGCTTAAACAGGAGTTAAAGCTGGGGTACAGTTACAGTTCAGATAGTTTGTAAGATAAGCTTAGGAAAGAAGTATTGATTATAAACAAACTTAATATAAGCCTAATGGTGGTTTATTGTTCATTTTTAAAAGAAGCAGTTGGCAAGTTTCTACATGAATGCTGATAGTTAATGTTCATATTTGGATATAAAAAGTAAAGGTTCTTGGAATACAGAAGTAATGTATCTAAAAACTCTGTTTTGCATTGTGCATGTTTGTGAACCTTTCCAATTAACCTGTTTTCCAAAGAAATATATTTTTTTAAAGCTGTGAAATTCTGAATGGGTTTAATTTAATGGGTCAATATCATATGCCTCGGGTGATACACTGTAGTGAGTTTCATGTCAATTAACAAGCTTATGTCTTGAATCTAGTCTCATATAGTCTTCCCTTTTTGTCTTTGTTTCCCTTGCCTTTTTGAGCTCGGCCCATTTCCATTTTTCACAATTGCATTGTGGGAAAGTGGCTGCAGTAGTTTCAGAGATGCACAAGTCTGTTTTTAAGTGCATTATTAATAATCTTGCTAATCAACTTGAGCTTTATCTCCTTAGCTGGACATTACAGCCATTTAGTTGAACACTTTGGGTGCTGGCATTCCTCAGTGATTTATTAAGTAGCCTCGGTTACCCAAACAGTGAATGCTGATGTAGATGACTTAAGATGGCAAATGCATTTTTCACTAACCGTATTCTAATAATTTTATGATTACGTGAAATGTGTCACAACAGATTGAATATCATAAAAATAATACTCATATCACTGCAAATGTAGTATTTTCTAGGAAAACTTCTCACCCATTTAACTGAGAGAGTAAGTTAGTGTTGTGCCTACTTGAGTGTGGATCACATCACCCTTGAGATGTTTAGTTTCTACTTATACTGTATCAACAGTATTCAAGCTTTTAAGTAACAATGTACCCAAGTGGCTATTCTTGAAAATCTCCCAGTTTTGCAGGGTTTTTTGCTGCTCATTTTTTTTTTACCATATCTTCTCATCAATCTTTGCGTTTCTAAAGTTTAACATAATTTCTTCTTAAAACTCTTATTCTTCTATACAAAGTCATCTCATAAAATCAAGGAACTTTTCATTGCTGGGTCTTTACCAGCAACAGTTTTCAAATTCCCCAATAGTTGTAAGACGTGAAGGACCATGCTGAACTAGTGAGATGGGTGTATATAAATTTAATAAAGAAATAAACTTTCATCCTATATTCTAAATTTGCCCATCGAATACCAAGCAAATACCATCAAATGCTGGTCAGCTTTCAAGCAAACCTGGGTTTAGAGAGCAGACTGACTTTGTTTGAAAGTCATATCTATCAGCCATTGAAAACCTTATTCTGTATAAATCTATCCAGTTACTTCTTAAAGTTAATTAACCTTCCAGATGTATTATATGCTAGTATATTGCATAGAGATTTGTAGAATGCTTTTTTCTGTCATGATTCTTCCACAGTTTAGATTTATGGAACGAATCAATTTTTATATTAAAGGAAAAAAACCTGAAAGTCTGCATGTCTAAATTTACACTGTAATTATGTCTTCCTCAGCTAATCTGCTTGATTTCCAAAATCTAAACCAAATGAGATCTGATTTTTACTTACAAGGCAGACCCCCCATGAAATAATAAAGATGCGGGCTACATTGGGATGTCAACAATAACAACAAACAACATTTTGAATTTCTCCTTCCATTTGTTGCTAGGATAACTATGTGGACATATTATATTGATGACGTCACTGTTAAGTTTGAGTTGATTTTTTTTTTCTTTTCATCTGCTTTACCTTTTTTTGTCTATATAAAAAGCCTTGAACATTGTCACCTTCCCTTCCTATTAAGTAAACTGTTTCAGTCCCACAATCATTTTCTTCATCTTCACCATTTCTGCAATATTTAGCAGAGAGTCTGGGGCTTGGCACATAGTATTCCAAAGATAATTGCACCTGGAAAGTGTATAAAGGCATTTCAAAAAGAGCAGTTGTGTTTAAAGTGCTTTTCTTTCTTGTAAATTAGAAGGCAAAGCTGTGCTTCTTTTCAGCTATAATTGTTGCCTTGCTATAATTCTTACTTTTGGAAATTTTTCAAGATTAGTATGCATTTGTGTTTTCTGTACACAGTCTATTGCCTTCCTTGATGGTTCACCACATTTTCCACTAATTATGGGTAGCATTTTTCATTCTGGTTGCTTCTAGATGGATATCTTAATATGCAATGTATGCTTCTCTCAGTATAGTTATTTGATGAAGCATCCAGACAGCCTTATTCTTCTGTCAACATCCCCACACACCCTCTTCGTTCTGTTCTGGGATAATCTTTTCAGATGGAAAGCCCTGAAACAGAAGCACGTATGTCCAAAATGATAGTGGTACCATAAGATGGGGTTTTTATAAGATGGAGTTTGGAAATTAATGTCAGCAGTGATACTGTGATCTTTTGCCCAATCTCTGAGAATTCGGGTTCTTTTCAGTATGTGTGCAAATGTTTCAAATTTTAAATAATTTAGGAAATAAGATGTGTAACTCTTGTTCACATTCAGAAAAAAATCTTTTGTATGCATAAAGGTGAGATACCTATCTACAAATGAACATTTAAAAATGCTTTTTATATATCTATACAACTGTAGCTTCTGAACTAGATGTGTGAAAACCTTCATCTTATTTTTCTCTTAACATAAAGGAATTTTCCCTAAATAATCCCAGCCACTATGGCAAAAGGGAGACATTGTAGAAGCTGTAGTTTTCTGGAAGGCATCCATATCTACTTGTTGGATTCACAGTGGTCAAATTTGTCCATTGATTTGAGTTTTCCCTAATTTCTCTTAAGAAATGCAGTTTGGTAGGTGTGCTGAGAATTCTCTTGTTAACAGAAAGTATAGTTTTCTGGTAAAGTCTACTTCAGTTTGTGATTGTGTTCAACTCTAGGGGATAGTGCTCATCTCTGTTTCTTAATCGAGGAAACCAGTGATATCTGAAGACACTTCCGTGATCATGTGGCCAGCATGACTATATGCTGAGGAGCGCAGAATGTTATTAACTTCCCATCAAAGTGGTACCTATTTTGGTACCTATTTATAAACTCACATTTGCATGCTTTTGAACTGCTAAGTGGACAGGAGCTGAGGCAAGTAACAGGAACTCACCCCATTGCATTGCGTTCTTGTCTAAAACCCAGTCTGTCAGCTTTCCAGCTGACAAGCTCAGTATCTTTAATCACAGCCATCACACCCCTATTCTATTTAGTATGGGGGAGGGAATATTCTAGAACATGAGTGTCAAACTTGTGATGTCACATGACGTGACGTATCACAACTTTTTTCCCTTTCGCTAAACTGGGGTGGGTGTGGCCAGCATGTGATGCATCTGGCTTGCTGGCTGCAAGTTTGACACCCTGTTCTAGAACTTTTGGATCTCATGTCTTGCTGTAACCTAGATTTTGAAAAATGGGTGGCTGAGAAGAACAAACAGTTTTTATTTCCAACCAACTGCTTTGTATGCTTGTGGAATCCCACAGTCTTATACCTTCTTAACGAGGAAGGATGGCCAGCCCTGGAGGCCTTCAATGAAATGAGCTGCCCCTCTACAAAATAAAAAAAAGCAATCCCTACAATCATTGGCTGCTGAAGATGTAGAATTCTGAATTGACCTCAGTCAGAGAAGCTGGTGCTTGAAAATGAGTTGGCAGGTTAAATTAATTTAAGTGAGCCTAGTTCTTGAGATGGAACTGCAAATTGCCAGGCTGACCCTGAAACCTGGAGGTGTTTAAGCAGCTATCAACTACTGCATGAATAATATGTTCATATTCCATTTAAGAATTGATGTATATGAATTAAGTTGATAGCACTTCTGGTAAAATTGATATCAGATTGGCAAACTTTTTCCATGATGGGGCTGAAGCTGCTAAATTTAGGGAATAGATTAAATATTGGGGAATTTGTGTGCCAGTAATGTGTAACAACATGACCATAAATACCATTATATGAAAAGAAAAAGTACCAGCAGCTGTTTTGCAGAGCCCTAAAATGTAGACCAAGGATCTTCAAACTTGGCAAGTTTAAGACTTGTGGACTTCAACTTCCAGAATTCCTGAGCTAACGACTGTAGGAGGAATTCTGGGAGTTGAAATCCACAAGTCTTAAAGCTGTCAAGTTTGAAGACCCCTGGTGTAGACCCCCACATGCCTATGGATTTTGGAAGTTCTTAATACTTTGCAGATAATTGCAGATTAGCTGAGAATTTTAGGTGCCAGAATATCCTCTCAAAATAGGGTTGTTTATCCATTGGTGAATTCATTTGCAAATATACATGGTAAATAGTATGATAGTATTGTGAATGCATGTTGGGAAGGACTTTGGTTCTCTTTCTTTTGTTGTGGTGGTGTTTACTTAATTCCTTAGGAGTACTTTTTCCCCCAGAGCAAAAAAACAAAACCCACCCACGTATAATAACATCAGCTAATTATAGCCTTTTTCTAAGCCTTGCTTTTCTTGCCAATTGGGAAGCAACACATCCCATTATGATGTGAGAATGCAGTGGCCTTTATTTGCCACCCAATTTGATAGTTGATGGAATGTAAACATTAAAAAGGATTTTGGATGAACTTTTTTTATAACAGAAATAGAAGCAATGCTTTCAAAGGCATAATGTGGTCATCAGAAGCAGCAACATAGAGGAAGAGTGAAGCAAGGAATAAGCTACATCAACTATTCCCACTGGATGTCGTCCAATCTGTTAGAGTACAAGAATAATCATGCCCAAACAGAATGACTTCTGGCAGTTTTAAGAAGTAAAAAGAAAAAGAAAAACAAAATAAGGAAGGTTGGATGTTCAATATAAAAAGCATAAAGTAAAACTTCCTATTAACTCTTTATTCCTTTTATTTTTTCTTGGCATCAAAAAATTTAAGAGCACAGCTAGGTGGGCACGTTCGAATGCTATCTTTGAATTAGTGAGAAAAGAACATAAATTAGGCACAATAACATGTTGGCACAAATGGCACTGCCTTCTTTGCAGATCTCTCTTCTAACTCAGAAAAAACCCAGCAACTGGTGCTATCCTTGGACTTTAACATGTTAAGGAAAGTGATTGGCAGGGTCCCCTGGCTTTGTTTCTCTTCCTATTGAAAGTTACTTCTGGCAGTGGAAAAAATGACCATCCATCCTGATGAGGTGGGGATGGATGGATGTAGCCAGGTGCTTAGAACAACTAGTGGGACCACATGTCAAGTGGCTTGACTAACAAGTTATAAGCATAAAAAAGCTCTGCACTTACCTGTCTATC